ACTGTTATTTGTGAAATACAGAGCCTCACTCTTCAGGTTGTTTAAAAAAAGACAACCCCAAACCGAACAATAAACCACAACCAAATATAAACAAAGGCAGCAAAAGTTAAATATKGTCTTTGGGAATCACATGCTTACTAAGAAAATCAAACTTTTTAAAAGATTTCTACAAAATAAAAAGGCTGCTGCCCCCATAAGAGACACACATTTCTCGTACTGAGCCACCCACCAAACAGTGATAATCTCTTTTAAGCAAATGGTCTGGATAATTTCTATAAATATAATTATATATTATATTATGTAAGTATATATAATATATATAATTCTGCTTATAAACTTGCAAAATACTTCAGAATACAGTGCTGAGTTTCCTGTCTGGCTCCTAGACTCAGCTTTGCAAGTAAGAGATTTACAGCAAGAAAAACATAGGACTCTTAATTTAAAGTTAAACTTAACTGAAGGAAGCAAAGTAGTATCACCTGAACTGTACAAAAAGTACAGGTAATCAAMTTTTAAACCAAAGTTCATGGAGCTATTAGATAAAATATTCCCTCAGATTCACAAAGAAAACTGAGATTTGACAACACCTTCCAAAGTACTTTAAGCAGCACCTGCTTGATTGAAACCTTATAATTTCACTTAAGGAACATTTCCACATTGATTAAACTCAGCGTGGTTTAAATTGTTTACAGGACTGAGGTAGTTTTTAAAAGGGCACAATCCAAGCATTATTGTGGTTGTTGCCTCAAACATTTTTGGTCGCAAAAACTGTGAAACGAAATTCTAAAGAGCAGAAGATTCATTCTGTGGGAAAGCTTAAAGAGGTAAACTTGACAAATATGCAAAATTATTGGGACAGATATGGAAAATCCATTTGCAAGGCAGTCTAATGGAAACTACATTTTAAAATTACAACATAGTTAAAATAAAACCAGCTTTCTTAAGATTAATTTGGCATTTAAAGGACAACTAAACAAAATCAATTTAACTCACTGGAGTTATTATGCCTGAAACCAGTGACAAGTTGATTGATCTACTTTGTCTTTCCTTCTCCAATAACATCTGAAGCCAAAATGCTGAACAGTTTTCAGAAGGGCACGTGGGAGAGAGATCTCCACAACAAAGTAATTTAAAATGTTTCAGCAGAACAGTAAACTGATAATTTTGTCCCAGAATAGCACAATTTCTACATTTAAGACTCAGTGGGAGGTTGACCAGACACTGAGGAGGAACAATCTCCTACCACTCGAGTAATGTATAGTGAATTGCTGCAGTGATTTCTGAGGAAGAGACAAATCAAACTGGAGTCTTTTGCTCCCACTCCACAATTAATGTTTTCACATTTTTAAGGCWAGTAGTTGCCTAGGCAAGGCCAAGATATTAATTAGAAATGCATAAAAATTTAGGCTGAATAAATTTTACATCCCTCTGAAGTGAGCCCTCTTAATTTTGTTTTGCAGGGACAAAATTTGAAAATATCCTAAGGCTTCAGGGTGATTTAACTGAAAAAAAGTGAGAAAAAATTGGTTTTGGTGTCAACGAAAATCCAATTTCACATATTTCTACTGCTTTTAGAAAAACATGCTGAGGTGACATTACAAGTGAACACTGCCTTAGCTCAGGTAGTAACAGGCCTGACAACTTAGAAATTYTGYGTGAGGCTTTTTMTTTCTAGAMTAATTCTAACAGGAATTTCAATTAAGCATTTTTAATTGTAAACTTTTAATTGTCTTTGAATTTCCATGCATAGCTGGAATGATCTTTCCAAATATTGCATTTATTTTGATCAGATTACAACTAARGGATAATCTGATCAAAATAAATACAATATTTTGTATTTGTATTTTATATATTTATATATATATATATGGTATAAATTATACACTCTATTATATATTGTATTTTATGTATTTTATCTATATTTTATAGGAGAAAACAATAATCTTTATAAAGTCAGAGGCTAGCAACCCTAAAAAAAACCAACCCTTTACTATATAAAGTCGATGTTTTCCAGCTACACTCCTTCTCTATTATTTTTTACTTTAGTCAGTACAAAACAACAGCAGTCTGCTTTAATTTCAACTTCTGAACAGCAAAAAACTGTTCAGAAAAAACTGCTTTCTGCCCCCCTTGAACTTAGCAGATAAACATCTGCATCCATCACTATGATCATAAAAAAAAATGTGAACACTCTAAGGCTCAACCCTTGAAATTAATGGGTGTTTTATGTGGTGTAGCACAATATGATCAATTTGGCATTTGTCTTTTTGCTCTAAATTCTTCTGGCTTTTGTGGAAATTTAATGATGAGAGCCAAGCCCTTGCCAACTAATCCCCCAGTCTGATCTATTCCGGGTGCAACATAACTTTATCAASCAACTTTTAAAATTAATAAGCCAAAAAAGTGTTTTTATCTGACATAAACCCTTATAAATCTTATGCTTTAAGTACTCTGGGGTGTTTTGAGAAGCAAAGAATTGTCTAATTCTGAATTTGGGTTGCTTGAGCTCTTTTTTGGTTCTAAGTGACAAATGTCAGTAATCAATTGCATTATTTGTAATGATGAAACCAACAGCTCATCTTGTCCTTCTTGATAAAATTTGATCACTAAATGCCTTTYTATTATTTAATCTTAACATAAAAAACAGTAGTGCCTATTTTAAAGTATTGATTTACACTCCTTTTTTTAACCCCTTAGCATTTTTACTTCCTTTCCAATGAGTAAAGGAAGTACCCATTAGATACTTCTAGATAATTAGTACCTAATTATAACTAGATAATTAGAGAGTTATCTAATTATCTACTAGATAATTTTAATTATCTACTAGATAATTTTAATTATCTAGTAATTAAAGTTACTAGATAATTTTAATGTCTTGCTACTAAAAGCAAACTTTTTCACTTGTTGGAATAACATGAACAAATTGGATCGGCATTTTTATTTTTCAAAATATTTGGCAAAAATTTACAACTGGCTTCAGGGCAAGTTGTTCACTGATTATAAAATTTTAATCTATGCCTAAATTTCCCTGGAGCCTGACTCTGAGCCACCTCACCCTTGAGATCTGAAATGCTGGAAAAAACTGTTTTGGAAAACACCAAGGTTCATAAAACCCTGCACAAGTTCAAGGATTTTAATTGGGTTTCAGGCTGCCCTTTTTGTCTGGTGAAACTCAGATATCACTGAGGGTTTTGTGTGCAAAACAGAGAATTCAGCTCTTTTAAACTTCATTATTCAAGGTGAATCTCTTACATTTTGTATTTTGTTGCTTGTTTGAAACAAGATCTAGTGAAAGAACCGCAAATATTTTGAGATTCTGTGCCAAGAGGCACCTAAGCAATGAACACCATTTGCATGARAATAACACAAAATGGTTCATCAGAGAATTCTAGCTGCCTCCCTTACCCYAAAGGTCTACACAATCTGAATTCTGAAATACTTTTAGGAATGGACCTTCAACTCYACCACATTGTGTGGCATCAGTGTCCAGAAGCACCAACAGTCAACAGCACCAACTTCCTATGAAAGGAAATGGATTGGAATTTATTCTTTCTTTTCTTTGTGGATCATATTTTGCTACAAATGACAACTGAAAAAGACTAAACTTCCTGKATAAAAAGCCAGATTATACTGATTTAAGACTAGATGAGTAAGGAAGAAAACAAGAATTCAGACCCATGTTGGAATTCTGGACTTAMTGAAGAAGGACGTCAGAAATAAGAATTTAAGGGGGCAGCATGAGRAAAGACATCAGAATGACTGATTATTAATGAACATTGCTGATTTTTTTAACAGTGCAGTTAACGTTGATAAGACAACAGACAAATAATATCAGGAACAATGCAAGCAGTTCATTTTCTAAACACTGCAGTTAAGTACCAGTTAAAAACWGCTCGAGTACGTATACATTTCATTTTCAATCTTCTCATTTGTTAAGGATACATTTTACCTAAACATTCTTATTTGAACCCCTTCTTAACCTTGCTGTAATTCATGGATGGGAATCTTTTAACCTTGCATGTGGGTATAAAGAATGAAGAAATAATAAAAAAATCGAAGCATTTCCTGGGAGAGTGGGGTCCTGACATGACAGGTTCACTGCATTCCCAAACTGATGCTCTGATTGTCACTCAACAGCACTGAGAAAATGTGTCCTATGCTCTCACATCTACAAGGTCAGGAAAACAAAGCTTTTAAAAACAAAAAGTATTCAATATTCACTGCAGTCRCTGCTGTATCACTCCAAATGTATCTCATCATGATTCAGTGTGAATTGTTTCTCATTTGCTGCCCCTAAAAGCCATTTCCAACTGACTGAACCACATTTCCACTTTTTCCTTATCATATTCAGTAAAAAAAAAAAAAGTCATAGAACAAGCATTTTAAGCATTAAGGATTTTACTTTTTAAAATGGGATTTTTACATTTTCACTTCAAAAGAAGGTGGAATCAATCAAGAAATGCCACTGAATTTGGCAGAACATGATACCTGCAGCTGTTCCTGCCCCCTTCCTGCTCATTCTCCCTTTCCCAGACACTGCCCCTGCCCCTGACACTTGTGGGTATCTCCTGAGTAGTAAAACCAATGCAGCATCCAAAGAGGGCACAGGACTTTACCCAATTTTCTTCTCAAGCAGACAGAATTTAAAAAAACAAACAAACAAAMAAAAGTCAGTTTATCTGCAGAGTATTGAAACTGAAGAAGTCCAACATCAGGATCAGCATACAGACTCGAAGCCTTAAAATTTAATTTCTGCTTCACTAAGGGACATTTTCCAGGGTGTTTTTCCTGCCAGCTCTCTTTTAATATGAATTCTGACCTCAGGTGACAATCRAGTGTTCCTCTTACCTCATTCTGGAGGTCTCGGATCATTTTGCTCTTCCTTTCCATTTCAGTCTTCAAAAAGTTAATCTACAATTGGAAAGAAATGATGAGTGGGAGTTGTTGAGATGCAATTGTAAACATTCTTCTTTTTTTATGCTTTTAAGAGTTTTGGAAAAAAAACCAATCACCAAATCAAAAAATTTTGCTTACATACCAAGTTAATATAGGCCACAGTTAGGTATTGGCTAAATCTACAAACATTTAGCATATTTACTAGAAAACTTTAAATCAAAATAAGAAAGTTGTACATAAATAGGCTTACTTTTGTTTTGTGCCAGCAGATATAATGTTTATTTTTCACAAGCCAGTTCAGTGTGATCGTCACAGAATTAAGGATTTTTACACCAATATTAACTGATTTTCTAACAAAGATATTTTTACCCTCTAAGAACATATCTATCAGAGCAAGTTTTTAACACAGTTATTTCATGTGAATGCCACAGTGCTGGTTTTAATTAGATAAAACCTTAATTCTMTTTAGACTCACCTGTGGAATAAAGTGTGCTTATTTTCCATTATTTTAAACATGAAAGCATTGAAATATGGACTTTAGATCCTATTTAAGTCAATGACTTACCTTGGAAAAAACAAATTTTAGTCTTAGGTTGAAGACTCAAATCAAACGTGGTTTAAAAGATTATTTTTACAAATGAGTTTTTTCAGGAATGAGCTTTAATCACAGCTTATGGAATACAATGGGAGAAAGGAGGATTTAATTATAAAACTAGGATTAAAATAACACATTCCTGTCACTTGAAGGGAAGATGCTTTTGGACACTTCAATTAGCAAAATACTCATCTCTATTTACCCAACATCCCACGCTGTTGATACAGAGAGAATGAACATATTCAGCACCTGCCTAGCAATGACATCCACAAATACTGAAATTTAGAACATCTATGGAAAATAAATATGAAGATTTTGCACAAAAAAAAGTCACAATCAAAATACAAGATCAAGATGAATGTGGAGAAACACAATACAGCTATTTGTTGTGGTTATTTTGCTTTTTCAGCTGTTCAAAAGAATTGTCATCTATCTACCATTAGATACTGAAAAAAATAATAACTTGACCTCCATTAAAGAGTGTCCCCTTTCTGAGACCTATCTCTCAGGAATATTAACATTCCTTCCAAGCACTTCACTTCTAGCTATGAATATATATGAAAAAATTAAAGAGATGTGATAGCAAAATTATTATCTCTGCACAGTTTGGGTCTTTTAGGGAAGAGACATTTAAGACAACGCAGCTCTATGAATTTATGCAGCAATCCATGTTAGTTAAATCAGCATTTTTGTTAATTAGTATTCACACACAAATGCATCTCACACCACTGGTATGGACATCTTACACAGTAAAAACATACTGAATTAAAAAAAAAGAACAAATTTAAAATTAGTAAATAYTTTTAAATCACTTCCTTAATATTATTTAAGAATGAGACTACTTTGAGTCACCAAATCCTGACAGTACAATAAACAAGAATAGACATTTAAACCCAGTTCTAAATTCAGAGGGGAAAAAAAAAAAATAACATTCACCTCTTTCCATGCGCTTTCTGCCTTTAATTGGTATCTGGCTGCAATTATGCCAACCCATAATGAAAATTTATTGTTCTGAGGCTGAACTTTTCAATGCTGAGCAAGGACACAGCCTCCATGTCCTGGAGACAGATATTCAAGGTACTCAGAGCTTTGTGCTTTCAGAGCTCATTATGTTTATTAAAGACAACAGCTTCCATCCAGCAGCCTTTACTCACAGCAGTCGGCGACCTTGAAATGTTCAAATTAAATTTTCCACCCTCAAAATGCAGAATGTTTTAGCAGATGGTGGTGAGCTAAGAGTCAGACAATGGTAGTGTTTGTGACAGAGTGGAAAAATGCCAATATAGCATCGTTCCTGAGCAGCCAAGGCTCAGCTTCAAACACATTCCAGCACCTCCAGACTTCTCGTGTCCTGCTCAGGACTGAGATGAGCAGTCAAGGTGTAATTTCAATTTATTCATTAACATCTGACTCTTCTGGTCATATCTGGAAACCCTAACAAACTCAAGAGTTCATTTTCCTGGTCTAATTTCCAACTTAGAGTGTAAAAAYTGAYRCCAAAAGCCAGAGAGAAYTGTTAYGYTATTACACAAAACMGAGAAAATATTGTTTCCTTTGGAGMAAAAGTGTTCTAAAAAATGCTAAATACTCTTAAAAGCAAAACTAAATAGATTTTTACCTATTAGTACTTCTAAGATGAATGTARCTTTTAAGCTGTAAGTTGAAGTTAATGAAAGAAACTTTCATCGAAGGAACATTAAGAACTTTAGGAACAGCCATAAAAGCTTTTACTAGAAAAAAAGAAAATTTGAAGGGAAAAAAACATCAGATCTTTTTACTAAAAAATTTCCAAGTATGGGGATAACAGTGAATTAAATTCCCCACATTCTCTTAGTTTTTCATTACTAGAAAAACCCTACTGATTTAAAAATGCCTATATTGTGTATGGTTTCTTTTTACAAGTAATCCATAATGTGTTACTTAACTCTCATTTTTCATAGTGATCACTGAGCAAAAGAAGAAAATTACCCAGACCTATTTTCTCCTTTCTTTTGACAGACAGTTCTGTAACTGTATTGCCAAACAATTCCATTAGCATATTGCTTTAAAATTGCTAGCAAGATATAAAMTACCAACAGGAATAAAACAGAAAATATAGACTAAGCTTACTCTGTTTAACTGAGCTATTTTTGAGCGTTTCCATGTTTCATTCTTTATTTTTTCCCCTCATGCAGAGAGCTCTTTTTATAAACTTTAGCTGCAGTTAATGGGAAATAACTTTGCAAACTTGCTAAAAGTGTAACTATTTCTTTACATGCAAACAGTTAGCATCAAGTGCAGCCAAGCAAAGAATCCATCTCCCAAAATCTCTAAGAGCCTTTTAAACTAATGAAGACAATACCAAATCAATCCTTATTCTATTTATTCAAATKCATTGAAAAACCCCAACCAAACAAACAAAACAAGATAATTTCACGTTACATGTGCCATTTGCTCTGTGCTTTTTGTTAACAAAAGTGAAAATCAGCCCATGATCTCCAGAAYCCTGTTTCTGGAACGAGTGGTTCCACTTCACATTTAGAGATAATAGCTTGGCATTATTAATATTTTTTTTCACTTCATGAAAGCTTATTACAAATTGCTCAGGTATTTGGTGCTAAATGCAGAACAAAAAACCCTTGTTAAAGGATCAAAYAATGGATTGCAAGCACAATAACATTGATATCTCTATTTCAGATGAATCATAAAATGAATTTTTATGAAATTAATGAAATTAATTTCAGTGAATTTTAATGAAATTTAGTTCAGTGCTAGAGAAAATCATTGCTACACATCACACGAGAAGCCATGAATGTAAAGCCTAATGTACAGCTGCTGTGCCTCCTTGGTTCTTTTTGCTTTTGAGTCATTTCCAGGTTATTTTTCATGTAATTTGTGATTTTTTTTTTCATAGTTCTTGTGAATTCCTACTTAYACTTTTACACTAATAAAGAACACCTTGAGGCAGATGTTACCTGCTGGATTTTACAGCCAATTAACATGCACACTGCAAGCACTGTGCTTTGCCTCTTTGGCAAGTGCAGAGAATTATGGATTTCCACCCTTCCCCCTCCCACCAGTGTTTTATCAGTCTGTGTGAAATGCAATTCCACTCTTCTTTCCTCTAATGAAAATCAAGATTTACCTCATCGAGTCCTGTAATTTAAAATGTGCTTAAATTAGATGAGAAACAAGGCTSGCAATTAATTAAATTAGAATTAGATTCAAGCTCCCATCCTCTAGCTAGTCTTGCATTAAAGCACCTGGCTCTTCTTTCATAGATTACACACTGCTTTCAGAAAAATGTGAACCACGTAGAGAAACCAAAAATAAAAATGTGTGTCAGTAATATCTATTTTTATTTCCATTTTCATTTGAGAATCCTGAAGCACTTTTTGAATATTCATTCAGCCTCACTGTAATGTTGAGTTTCACTTACTATGCAATATTCACATTGCACCCCAAGGCACAAAGAAATAAATGCCACAAAGCAAGGACATGGTTGTGCTTTCCTCAGAACCAGCAGCAAGTTTAATATTCTATTAATGGCAAATATTAGAATAGAGCTGAGAATTTTGCTTCTTTGCCCATCTGCCACCACTCCAAGCCAGGCTCTGTTAGAAAATCCATTCCAACCCCTTGACATTCTATAATTTTATTCAGACARTCTACAGGTTATTTCTGCTCCCAAACATTACGTCAAAGTCCAAACAATGTACAGTTTGTCCAGAAACAGAATTTCAGTAAAGCTTGGAATCTTAATGGGACTTAGTACTACCTTCTATGGTGGCAATTAGTTCTACTATGGTCAAAACCAGATTCTCTACTTTCTATTTTGCTGCTGAAAATACGCAGTAATTCCTAAAAATTCAATGGATGTGTGACAGTGTATRTTAGTACAGATGAAACGTGAGGGTTCATAAAGATAAATCTCACCTGGGAGACGGCTTAGGCCTAAGTCTCCTGCCTGAAGTCTCCAAAAGTGTAAAAACATCCCTGAATTCCCCAGAATTTAGGGAAGATGGGAATTTTAATACTTTTGAACATAAAAACATTTTTCAGCTCCTTTCCTCCCAAGCTTGCAGACTACTAACACACATGAAATAAATCTTTTTTTCCATGCCAAGTTTTTTTGAGCCAACGAATTCTCAAGGCAAGATTAAGGGAAAACACAGAAGAAAAACAAAAATAAGGAAAGAAAGAGGATCACTCACGGTAGCCTGCTGCTTCTCTGCTTTCTCAGCTGCCTCATTAAGTTGTTTTTGAAAGGCTTCCTGGAGAGATTTCATTTCTTCCCTGGTTTGTTGAAAACACAGAACACAAACTTCAACACAAGTGTCCATTAGGAAATAACTCTTCAGATTCAAAAAAAAAAAAAAAGAAAAAAGGAACCTTTAATTATCCAGATTAGCAGACAGATGTACTCTGTTCTATGAGCCTCACAAATAAAATCAGAATGACCCCGTGAAGTATAGTGCCAATGCAAACCAGAAATTATCTGTAATGCAAAGTGGCCACTGTTTATAACCTGCTGTGCAAAACATCTGCCAGCAGATCATTTCCTAGAAAAAAGGATTGACACCAAAAAACTGAGGGGAGTGGGCTGGTGAAAATGCACTGACATGGAGATGTGCTGTTATCAATAGGAACCTGCCTTAAAATAAACAAATAAATCAWGCTCTGAGAGAATTCAACCTCACGCGGCACTTTATAGAGATGAGACACAAAAAATTCAGCAGAAGATTCTGGCATGCAAGACAAAAAAACACAATGATTGCTTGGATTGGGCTTTGTTGAATCACATGAAAACCYTCAGCGTTGCTGATTCAGTCACAGATTTTCTCCAAATTGCAAGAATTTTMTACCCACAGCACAGAACACACTTGGGAGCTGTGGCAAAGGAGTAGAAGCACATATTTCATAACAGCTTTTGCAGGGCTGCTGCTTGCCTGGATAAACCTTCAATGAAGATCAACACAAGACTGGATTTACACACAGTAACAGGTAATAATTTAACCCTGTGAAACCTGAACTGAATGGAAACCACATGAATTTAGGAGAGCTTGCTAGCTGCTGCATCATCTTTCTTTTTAGCTGATAACCCCTACTACTTCCAGCAATTTCAGCAACACTARTACAGATTTAATTGRAAAAGTGATTGAGCAGAGTGAAAASAAGATTCCATCAGCACTAACAGATGTCACTACATCAAAGTGCTGATGATGCCCAGAAAGGATAAAACTGGGGGCATCACACTGAGTGACCAAGTTCTCCTTGCAGCTTGGAAATTATTGAAGAATTTGCACAAAAGTTTTTGAAAAAATCTGTTTTGAAGTCAGCAGAATGTTTATTTACACAAGCTGAGATTCYAGCACTCTAAACTTTACTGTATCACCCAGAATTGTAGAGCATAATCAAAGTCCTGCCCAGACCAAATGCACCTCATGTTTGTCCAAAGAAAGTTCATAACATTCGTATCAGGATGTATTTTGAATTTTGGCTTTAATCCAATAGATTTAAGCATAATATTATGTTCACTTTCTTCATTTACTGCAGATAAAGCACAGCCTGAGGACCCTGGTAATAAACTGTGACCTTTCCTTAGTGAAATTCTACTAGGAAGATTCCCTGGCACATTTTTAATACCTCTTCWGYGCTCTGAACTTCTACACCTCTYTGGAAATGAAAKCCAGTGAGTTTGTGAATAGCTAYCAACAGCAGCAGCCCCGAGGCATTYCCTTGCAAATGTAAAAACCTTTAGTAAAACCCTTCAATTTTCTGAATGGCAGGGTGGGCTGCCCAGCAGCAGATTGCACTGATYCTTTATTTCTGGGACCATGCAGTACACTCAAAGACTGGATCCCTTAGAAGCAAAAGTCAACATCTATTTTTGGGTGGACTTTGGTCGTCTGACACTTTTCASTCAGGAAATGGGAAGAGAAGRAAGGAGGTGAGGGTCTTACCTTTGCTTTTGGCCCAGCTCCAGAAGTTTCTGCATATCGTTTTTGGTTGATGCTTCGTCATTTTTTAAAGACTGAGAGCAACACAGAAAACTCTGTTAAAGAGATCTTTTAAATTATTAATCAGCAAAATTATTAATTTGGCCCTCGTTCATAAAATGGTTCTGGTGAATTGCAAACATTGCCATTTAAGAAGACTGGAAGAATTGTCCGATTTAATGATTTTTTAAAAGAATCAAACTTTTTTTTTTGTTATTAAAAAATACCAATAAGAAAATATTGAGGTAAATAATCCTATAGAAACTGAGACAGAGTCTAACCTGGAGGTTYACTTTAATCCCCTGAAGTTCTTTAGAATTCTTTAATAGCTGATGAAGTATGTTGCTCCTTTCCTTAAAGATTGCTTTCAGCTGTTTTTCCAGTTCTTCATAGCCCTGTCTAACACAAAGAATAAAAGCGTGAGATCATCCCAAAACATCAGGCCATGCACCTGAAAACAKATCTTAGCTCATTCAGATTTAATTAATTCCAACACCCTTTACAGATTTCAAACYGAGCTGCATCCCTTTGCCCACCCACAGAACTTGATTTCTCCTGATAGAGMATRYAATTTATACATCATATAWATTTAAAATAAAAATATYTATCYATTTATAGACAAAYAGATRTTTTATAGATTGWAATGATGTKCTGATTCTGAGTGTGCAGATTGTCAGACTGAAACATTGCAAATGATGGATGGTCTGTGACGAACAGGAGACAGAACTGGGTGCATTTAGCACGAGTGAGATTTTCCCTGCCTTCAAAGATAATGCCACAAAAGGAGGAAAGCAAAACTTTAGAAGTATGAAGTTTTGAGACATCAGGAATCTGAGGTGTTGTGGGAAGCCCAAAATGTTATTGCATTTAATACCTATCTGTGCCCAAAAATTGKTACTTTCTYAGAAAACRGAACTGGGGGGMAGGGGGTTGCTGYRGTCRCTTTTTAARTTTTAAAATTCAGATAGATTTCAGCTTTGTAAAGTTTAATTCATTCCATCATTTCTTTTCACTTAAACCTCTTTMCAGCRCAAACTGGAACTGAMAAATATGCTCAGTGGAATCAAACCCRGTTATTAATTATTACAGGAGTAAAAATATTCTTTCCTTTTCAAAATGGTAACTTTTGCTCAAAAGCCGCTGTTTATAGACATGTCACCCCAAGTTTTGGGACAAATGTTACCTGTGCCCAGTACAGGGGGACAATCACTGCCCTGGTCCTGGTGGCCACACCATTCCTGATTCAGGCCAAGACTTTCTTAATATTAACAGGATTCTCAGGATTGGGTTTAAGAAAAGATCTATGGTCAGTTGTTTTTTTTTTTTATTCGTCCCTTCTTGAATTTTAAACAACCAAATTTTAGTCTCTCATGTGTTCAACAGGCATTTTTAGGAAGGTTTCACATGTCACTTTTCCACTTCAGTCATGTCAGTTTTCCACTTCAAACATGCCAGTTTTCACATCAGCATGCCAACACTCTGCAGCTGTKTCATTATATCAAAAGCATGGTGTATTTGCTGAAGCTAATCCTAAATTAATAAAAATTAAATACTTCCACCGTGGCRTAAGTAACGTGTCTTAGGAAATAATTTCATATTTGAAAACACATCGACTGCAAAACATAGCATCACAAAAACCAAAAATTTTGTCCTGATGGATGCAAACACGCTCAGCTGAATTTGATTAACCAACAAGATGATTTGTCCAATTAAGGAAAACTGAAACACGTAAAGCAATTGAATAGGATGTTAGAAGACTCAATCAGAATAATTCCACTGAGGGACACAGATCTTTAAGGATGGCATCATCCTTTATCATGTGAGAGAAAAAAAGGAAAGCAACTTCAGTAGGAAAAGGCTGAAATGTTAAATTCAACAGCAAGTTATGTGGATGTGGGTGAACACTGGATTCTTGCAGCCASAAAAATCAYCTCTAAATTGAACAACTTGGATAYTGGAYACTTCATGCTGAACTTGGATACCARTTTTACACCACTCTGAAAAWACTGACTCACAGAATGTGGTGTGTCACCACAACATCATCAWATCCCAGTGACTTTCCGAAAAACCTGAATCCTCAAGAACTGCCAGGGGTCTCTCTGTCTTTTTAAATATAAGTTACATGATTATACATAATATCTAATTAAACCCATTCCTAGGAAACCCACTATGGAAATACACACAGATCTGTTCTCTAAATATTAGGCTACACTAGTTAACACTATTCTGTAAGACAATGTGGCATTGCCAGCATATCCTGGCCTTAAAGTGAGTATTTATCATTACACATTAACATGGGGTTTTTTTTTTGGTTTTTTTTTTTAAATGGTCATTACGGAATAGAACAATTTAGCAACACTCTGTGTTCCAATCATCTGTAGCACTCTAATTGCAAGTTGTTTCCCTTTTACCATCAGCTTATTAAAGCAGTGCCAGTGTAAATTTCAATATAATCTGCTTGCAAGGGAATGATATTCATAGTTTTAAAATTAGTCACGTCTTTTACTCTTCCACTGACATGATTTAATAGATATTAATAAACATTCCAACAGATTCTAATTTTCAATACACAACAAGTCTAACTACTAGAAAGATGTGCACCCAGAAATCACTCCACCTCTGACTGTTACTTCCTTAAATATTTGAAATTAAGCTTTTAGTCTTCAAAACAACTGGATTTATCGGAACATTTTTTAAAAAAAGTAGAATTCAGCCATCATGCTTAACATTGGACATAATGTAATAAAACTTCAGTTTCCTTTCCTAATTCCTGGCTCCTTGTAAGACTTGCTTGCAAATGTAACACTTACAGTGCTTTTATGAATGGGATGATTTACAGAAATGTCAGCTAAGGTTAATTCAGGGCAAATGCCACCAGTTCTGCTAAAGAATCTGCTAAAGCACCCAGATCTGAATAGAGAAATASCACCTTCAAAATTTGATAAGCAGCACTTTATATTGTTAATCTCATAGCAGAGTCAAAAAATACATTAAGTGGACAAGGAAATGCACATACACACAGCTACAATCACTGATTTTCATTTCTTCAAGTTTCTTTCCCCYTTGAAAGTATAAACTCAAGTAAAAAAAACATTTTTCCAAAGGACATATAGAGATGGAAGAAAGGAAAATAAAGGGTCTCAGCCAAACCCAGCTGCTAAATTGAGAGAACCCAAAAGTTGGTGGTGGTGATTTTGAAAGGCAAGACTGTACATAGAGATCTCTCAATATTTTTTTCCCTAGGGACAATAATCAATATCCTCATACACTTTCAGAACAACTGCCTCACCCAACACTTCCCACAAGTCACAAAAGGGACACACAGGGAAATATTTACATTATTCCAGTATTCTTTCTTTGACACTTGGCCAGTGACAACCTTAACAGACCAATCTTTACACCACAAATCTGCCAATGTAACATTGTGCTGCTGCTCYTCCTAGGGCAGCAAAGATATGCTAATTATATCTGGAGCTATATATAAACTGTGATCCTCTCCTGAAATGCTCACCAAGCACATTACAGAGCTGGAGCACGCTATCAGCTCCCTGCCAAGGCTGCATTTCAACTGCTTGAAAAAGGAAACAAAGTCAGTCAGAACATCCTGACATCCTAATATAAATTAGGAAAGGATACCTCTTCATATTAAAAAAAAAARTWWAAAAAWTTTAATGTCTAAAAGGCCAAGTGAGGCACTGAGAGTTTCACTGTGAAATAATCTGATTATCTCAGAGCTCGTAAACACACACATTTCCACTTATAGATCCCACAGYTGGGAAGATTGTTCCTGGTTTTAGTCCTCTTCCTCTCTGAAAAACAGACTCCCTCTAAAAATATGATGCAGATGATTCCTCAGGAAGCTTCTTCTACTTATTTTAAAATGCCAGATGGTTCTCAATGACTTAATGACATTGCTTTAATAACTAAGTCTGCTGCAGTATTAAACTACTTTTTTTAATGTTATACTGAACTGCAACAGATAAACAGTAGGATACAACTTCAGAATGAAAGTCTCACAGGTTTCCTTTCCTTCTAGTTTTTGRTTTAGGCTTTTTTCTTGGTTTTAAACAAACATTTCCAAATATTTTTACAATGAATACCCATAAAGGCTGTAAACTTCAGAGCTTATCAAGCCCCTTTAGTTTTCACAATTACAAGGACTGCTAACGTGCACTCAAGCCATTCCTACTGCTCCATTTTTAAAGCATTATTTCACAATTTGCCCAGATAAACAWATCTAAGTGGTCATAGCAGCCATAATTTCATCAATTAAAAAGGCCCAAGTTCTGTGCATTAAGCACCAATCCACATTCTTCAAGCAATTTGAATGCTGATAGTAGACATTTCCTGCTGCATTTAACCTTTTGCTTAAAATGCAGCTAATTCATCCATTTCATTATTTACATTACACAAATGCAGTGGGTGTAAAACCACGTCTGCTCTGAGAGTCAGTAATTCTAGTTTTTAATCTAGACAAACCAGAAATCTCTGTATGGAATTACTCTCACCACTCAGTGMAGACCCTTAGTGAGCTGCTCAGGGATCATGTCACCAAAATATCTTGATTAATATCTACCACTCCAACTATTTCTAAGTTAAAATCTAACTCTGCATCTAGTTGTACCAGATTTGTGTCAGGTTGTACATGACAGAATAACAAAAGYACTGATGTAATTAATTATTGCTTTGACACCATTCTTGATCTTGACAGAACTCCAATAACAGCAGGGCAAAGTGTTTTTTCACAGAAGACAGTTCTGTTTTCACTTCTAGTGCCATGCCTACCCTGAGTAGTGATTTTAAGTTACTTTTAATAAAAATAACTTTTGGCCCGAGGAAGAATCTGCCTACATATTATTTGCACATTGATGGGCATATGAGAGGCAGAATGATGGGAGCTYTGCCATGTGAAGAGCTCTTTTTGAGTGTGTTTTTAATGAAAATAACGTACTGTGATGTTGCACACATGCTAACACCCTTCAGGCAATGATGATGGTTGCATATTTTCATACTATCTTTAAAAGGAAATAAAACAGCACCATCTAGAAGCCTGTATAATAAAAAGGAGTACAGCAGAGTTCAAACACTTTGATATATTTTACAAACAACTGAAGYAAAAATATCTGTGGTTATACCAAATAAATAAAATTAAACCATAATGCTGGCCTGTCTCTTAGTGACAGGGCAATATTGAAAATATTACTGCAWTTGTGATATGCAATGTTACCCCCCCAAACCAAACCAGATGAAAAAACCTCTGAATTAAAAGAAGAAACCCAAAAAAAAGCTTTATTTTTAATTGGTTATATAATTTTTAATTGTAATCTGAGAACTTAATCAGAWTATTTATTAAGCTCCTGCTGAAATTAATATGCATATAGAGGAGATAAAAAATCTTG